TGTACTTAACCATTCATTCCTGCATTAATCACTGCCTGTACACTCTAATTGCCAAATGCATACTGTGTGAAAATCCTTGTTTTCTTTGCAATTCACAGTATTTCAAGAATATTTATGTCCTGATACACCTCTGCTACCTTTACTGCTTAGTATTACTCATGTGAAGATAATTAAATAACATACTGGCCTTTCACTGTTGTTTTGACATCCTAGGAGGGAAAATGGGTGGAAATAAAGGCATGCAAAATGTAAGGTTTAAAAAAAAAAAAAAACCTGTGGATAAAGCAGATTCGGGAAGGAGAAAAGAAGGGAATTGCCTGAGGTAAGAAACTGAACGAATAGATTCACAGATTCAAGAAAAACAGGCTTTGGATCTGGGAGATTACCAGAAATGAAGTCAGAATTAAGAAGGGTGGATAAAGGTTTGTGTATATGCTCTAAGGCAGAACATGATTTTTGCTATATAAAAAAAACCAATGCATCTGTACCCTAACAACAGCATGGCGATATCCTGAAGAAGCCACTTTCAGATCATTTATGTGAAGAACACTGAGGTTGTGTGGAGAAGCAGAGAAAGTTCTCTCCGGCAGTTCATTTACATGTAGCAAGGGACACATGGATAACAAGTGTCATGCCCTAATGAAACTGCAAAGGGCTATGCTAGCCAGACCAAATGCTTCTAAACTGGAAGGAAAAAAAACAACCACACAAGCAAACAAAAAACCCAGAAAACCCACATAAACAGGGCTCGACTAACCTGTTCTACTCTCAACATGTCTATGATCTGATCAAACAATGGGGTTCTCAGCAAGTCTCGATGAATTAAGAGAGTTTCCAGAGCATTACAGGCAGCAGGATATTCACACTTTGAGTCTCTGACTGAGATTTAAGAGCAGATAATTGGTTATACATTTATAGCAAAGATTTTGAACAGCATATGAATTAGCGATTGTCATACTCCAAATATGAAGATAATTAAGCCTATGAGCGTCTGGTCACCCTCTCCCAGCTTACTTATTCTCGTGACCTTCTCGACAGTGGCATCCGTGTCCACATACACATGGCAGATCCCTTCACTGTGTCCCATCACTGGGATTCCTTTAGCAGCTTTCTGGATATCCTTGACTAGCTGGGATGAGCCACGTGGAATGATGAGATCTATCAGTTTATCCAAGCGGCAGAGATCTTCTACTTCCTCTCTTGTGTTCACCTGCGGTAGTTATCATACAAATGGTTTATGGTGTGAACTCTGAATACTGCCTGTACTTTTTATGCATACCATACCAAACATCTGTCAACTTAATTCCAGGCACTCACTAGTTGCACCGCATCTCTGATCCCATGAATGGAGAGTGCTTCTTGTGTCAGATGATGAAGGATTTGATTTCTGAAAAAACCAAAAGAAACACCTGTCAAAAAAAAATTAAGGAAAAAAAAAAAAAAAAAAAAAAAAGCGATTTGTGTCTTCTGTGGGGATAACACATGCAAAATAGAGTAAGCCCAGGACTCTGAAACTTGCTGATTTACTCAATGTCACTCTGCAGTTTTCACTTTATGGCACCAAGACATTTTTCCAGGTAATAGTACGTATGACAGAAACGAACTCTGTTAGTATTTCAAGTACAAACTTGAGTATTCAGGGCACTATTGACAGGGGGAAGAATGCTGTGAGCAAGTCAAAGGACACCCTGGATATAGGCTCTGACATGAGCTGCCTAGCAGGCGAAGGAGGGGGACCAGAAGGAGGGAGACACTGGCTAAGACAGATAAGAGACTGGAGGTGGAAGCACAGAAGGGCAGACTGGTCACCTATGAAGAACAGAGTCGGTGGCAAGGAACTAATGGCAAACAAGGGAGACTAGTGCCTTTTCCTTCCACATGAAGTCTGTCGAGAGCATACTCCCCTTCAGTTTGAAATGGAAATCAACATCCACAAAATTCAGTTATGAAATATTAAGCTGCCCACTGGCAGAGTCTCACTTCCTTTTTAAGCACTTGTACCCTCACTTGCTCCTCAAGCATCTGATTATACGGAAGAGAACTGCTCAGTCAAAGACCTACATCAGCCATGGGAAATAGTGTTCATAATGAACTTTTTTGTTTGCTGTTTAAAAATCTACTAGAGTTGCTCAATCAAGTACTCAGTAGTCAGAAACTGCTAAGATCAAGGTTGCCTATATAACCTTAGTTCAGGTCCTACAGTTCATGCATTATAATAGTACTCAATCACAGTAATACCTCTCTCCCAGCTCTGCAGATGAAAGCATTTGCCTGGAAGATGCCTGCCTTATTCTTGACACAAGATGAATGATGCTCACTCACAGTACCTCATTCAAGATTTTCACTCCAGCAACTTCAGTACTTAAAACACCTTTTTTGCCCCACCCCCATCTCACTAAGTAAAGACTGTCATTCTGACGCATCGCACACATGTGCTATCAGCATTGGACAGACCACCTCAAAGCCCGGGACTTCTCAGCTTTGGGTGCTAAGCTTAATTTTTATCACATATTTTTAACAGTTACAGTTAATAATTAAGATCTGAATTAAACAGTTCTGATGTAACCCTCACCGCACAGCTCAGCTGTATCCAGCACGGACAGGTAAGTGCTCACTGGTAGGAACCTCCTAAGAGGCGAGTTAGGCAGGGAAGGTACATTCACTAGACACATGCAAGAACTGCACCCTCTAAGTGCAAGCTAACTCCTTCTACACGCTGGCTATCGAAAATCATTCCTGAATAGTTCTGAAAACCGCAGAAGCAAATCCTGAGAATCTGTCTGTAGAAAACAGAGGTGCCAACAAAACTCCTGCTATAAGCCTCCCAGCAAGAGTCCTTTGAGAAAAGGCTTCTTGCAGACTCCCAGTTATGTGCCATCAGAAATACGTTTTCTTTTGTTATCAAAGAACTCCCACCAGCGTATTCTGCCCTCCTTCCATACCTGTGGAAGACAGTCAGGACGGGACTCAAAGATGACAAGAAGGACCCCAATAGGCACAGTCACCTGCTCCAACTCTAGGTCTTTTGCGATCCGCGTTCTCCGAATTACACGGCCAACGCTGTCCTGTGAGGATGCTGCAATCTGACGCAGCCCAATAGCCAAGCTGTTCAACTTCGATGTAGACAGGCTCAGACGTTTCAATAAAGGAAGCGCCAGTCTTCCTAGAAGGAAGGAAAAAAATGTGCTGCAGAAAGATTTGCCTGTCTAGGCTCAAATAAAACTGACCTACAGAAGTGGCAAATCTACGGAAACTTCAGGTATTTTCCACCACTTAGCTAGAAACCTACCCCAGATGAACTACACGAGGCATTAAGTCTGGCAGCCTTCTCAACTCTGACTACGATATCACATACCACAACGTTCTCACATTCTGTGGTTTAAATGATTTGCATATGAAACCATGTTGACATCCACAAAGCTAAAGTTTGTCCTACTTCAAGTACCTGAATCTCTTACAGATTTTATCTTTGCAGTATTTCCAGATGGTTTCGACAGTACTTCAGGTGTTCTATCTCTAAAATAGAAAGATTAAAGCACAGACATACATATAGCATTTCTGTTCTGACTGGACAGGAACTGCTTAAGTTTTCTGGTCTGAACATGTTCAGCCAATAAATGCACCCAGCAACATCCCTCCAGGTACTCTGGTCAGTAAGGGTGGTGTCTTATACAGAATATGACAACTCACACTGTGTCATTTTCATACATTCCCTATCCCTACACACACACATACACACACACACACACACACAGAGTAATCAACTGAGAAGTTGGAATTAGGATAACACAGAAGAATGCGTTTAGTTCAAGCCACCTATACAGAACCTTCCTCAGCA